ATAGTTTGTGAGACCCTATCTAGAAAATACCCAACACAGAAAAGGGCTAGGTGGAGTGGCTCTAGGTGTAGGCCCTGAGTTCAAACCCCAGTACCACACACACACACACACACAAAACAAAGTTTCCATTGGACTTTTCTATGTAAAAATTATGTCATTTGTGAATACAGAGTGTTTTAACCTCTTTTGTACCAATATCTTGTTTTCTTTTTCTTACCTTATTGCATAGGCCACAATTCCCAGCATAATGTTGAATAGAGGTAATGAGAGCAGACATACCATCTTGCTCATATTCTTAGGGAGAAAACATTTACAATTCTGGATGAGTCTTCACCTCCTTGACCTAATGGCACAGAGAGGGACTTTTAGCAATGTATTTCAGACACCTAAGTTTATTTTTTTGTTGTTGTTGAGTTGGGTTCTTGCTTTGTTGCCCAGGTTGGCTTCCAGCTCATGATCTTCCTGCCTTAGCTTCCCTAGTAGCTGGGATTACGGGTATGTGCCATCACACTTGGCTAGTTGTAGTTTGTGTGTGCGTGTGTGTGTGTGTGCGCGCGCGTATATGTATTTTTCAGTGTTTTTTTTTTTTTTTCGTCATTATTGGTGTTTGGACTCAGGGCCTTGCGCTTGCTAGGCAGGTGCTTTACACTTGAGCCACACCTCCAGCCCTTTTTGCTTTAGTTCTTTTTTACAAGGTCTCATGATTTTTGTGACTAGTCTTGACTGTGATCCTTCTATTTAAGCCTCTCATGTAGCTGGGATGAGGAGTACTACCACCCCAGCTATTGGTTGAGATGGGGTCTCACTAACTTTTTGCTCAGACTGGCCTCTAACAGTGTTTCTTCTGATCGCCACATCCCAAGTACCTGGATTGCAGATATAAGCCACTGTGTCCAGTTGCTTTAGTTATTTTTCAAGTAAGGTTTCATGTTTTTGTCAGGGGCCAGCCTCACACTGAAATCCTCCTACCTATGACCTCCCATGTAGCTGCTCAGTTTATTGTCTGAGGTGCGGGTTTTGCTAACCTTTTTTTTTTTGCTTGGGCTGACTGGAACTGTATCCTCCAGATCTCTGCCTCCTAATTAGTTAAGATTACAGGTGTTAGCTACTGTACCCGGTCCTTGTTTTTGAACATGTTCATCTTTCCTCTAGCTTCTTAAGCATGTGGATTATAGTTCTAACAATTACTTTTCATGTCTACTCTTGTTATTTCCAAATATTTCTATTCTCAATCTTCTCTCCCCATGTCTTTCTGTCTCTTATATACCACAGCAACATCTCTGTGTTTATTAAATAGATAATGCAAGATAGGTAGGTAATAATTCCCTTACTTTGTATATTCAGAAATTGAGGCTTAAGAAAGTTTGGTAGTTTATCCAGGTGTGAATGCATCTGTCTGTTATCCCAGATACTTGGGAGATGGAGGTAAGAGGATTACAAGGTAGAGGGGAAAGTTAGTGAGACCCTGTCTAAAAAAAGATGGGCTTTATGTGCATATATGAAATAGAATGATGAATTCTTGTTATTGATGTAAGTGTGGCTGGGAGGGGTTTGTGTGTGGGGGAGTGGGTGGGGGGCAGCTAACCAATGCACAAGGTAAGGCTCTTTGGAAGTGGCACAGTGAATCTCTCTGTACAATGAATATATGCTAATAAAAATGAAAAAAAACAAACCAAAAAACCAAAAGGACTGGAGGCATAGCTCAGGTGGTAGAGTGCTTGAGGACCTGAGTTCAGTCCCTAGTACAGAGATTAAAAAAATGATAATTTGTTTTGATCAAGGTCAGTTAACGTTCAGATTTAAATCTAGGTTTTTCTAATTTCACAACTTCTGCTCTTTCCATTATTCCTGTTTTTAGCAAAAGGGATAAGAGGCATAAAAGTAAAAATAAAAGAGCAGGAAAGGCACCATAATATAGAAAAATTGGGAAAAGATCATACAGGAGCATGTAGATTATAAAAACTTTACTAGACTGCAGGCAGTATTTTGTATGCACTTTGAAAGACAGGTCAGGTTTTGCAGGTTTCTATAAAGAGGGAAGGCGTTTGAGAAGTGTGTGTTGTGTAGGGATGGAGAGTGGGGTATGTATTTGGCTGAGTTGGGTGTTACTATGGAAAACAGGTGCCAAGGGATGTTGGATTGAATTGTGGAATATATTTGATGTCTGAGTTTAACAGAGGTCTTTTGTATGTCTTTTTTCTCCAGCTACTGGATATGTCTGATCCAGGGAGGGGTACTTTAAAAATTTCTCCTTAGTACAGTCTCATACATAAGTAATTTACAGGTGTATTGATTGATTGATAACATTTTCTTACTGTAGCATCCTTAGTTCCTTTATTAGTACTTGTGATTGTATTGTTTATTGTATGGGAAGTCTTAAATCCTGTGTTCATAAAATTCCTTCCAAAGAAGTCAGCATACTTTATGCTAATTCATTTCTTGATTGTGTCAGCAGTCAGCTTACCATATCCAAAGAGTATCCCACTTCCTCAGGCATCCAGAATGCAGCTCAACTTAAAGTCATTGTGTGGCCTTTTGCTGTTCTAATGAAAAGAATGCTCAGATGGTAGTGTGGTGGGCAGATGCCAGGCCTGTTCTCTGGGACTCTTCTATTTCTGGGTGATAGGGAGGAAGGAGTCCGTGTAGCACTGTCCCTGAACTCCCAACTGCCCACCATGTGTGGAATTGGCTCTTGACACTGCAAGTGCTGAATTGTATTCACTCTAATCTTTGCATCTCAGAGGAATCAAGACCTGAGGTTTCAGCTGGGCTTCACTAAATTTTAATCAGTTAAAAATAATTAATGGAAAAATACCTTCCTATTAAAATTGCATCATTATTTCTTCAGTGCTTTTAATTAGCTTAACAAACCTTTTTAACTCTGGTGTTCTGGCAAGCATTGTCATTGCCAGAGCTCCCTGAAGTGCTTGTCAGTGGTTTGAGTTTGATCAGAGTACATTGCCTCTTGGTATATGACCTCCCTGTCCTCATGGGCTTCCTTGTTAATAGAACTTCAGAGGAAAAGATGAAAATCAAATATTTTGTTAACTCTTAAAGGTGGGCTACTTAGAAGGACAGATGATTGAGTCTAGAATTAACACTATGTATGTCTTTACATGCTTTCAGTACAGTCTTGTTTGAGTTGTTTTTTATTAAGTATTGAGAAATTACAAAATAATGTATGCAAAATATATGTAGGCTGTCCAGACTTCTAGGACAATGAATACCCATGTATGCAAACACAACTTTAAGAAAAAAATCATTGCCATTGAGGATCTCTGTGCAACTGTCCTAATTCCACCTCTTCCTTCCCCTTCTGACATAATCAAATTTTTGTGTTTTCCTTATTTTTAGGTTTTTTTTTTTTTACTTTTTTGTTTTATTTTTGAAGTACATAATGTATATTTGTAAATAATCATTTAATTTTGCATTTAAAAAAAATGAAATCATAATACAGATATTTTTCTTTGGAGAAATGACTTCACATCTACACTAACCCCTCACTACCTAGTTTTTTTCTTCCATTTGATCTTTAAAATGAGATTGTCAGTTTCTATAAAAAGTTATGATTGAAATTTGTGACCACAATGACTTCTTTAACTTTTGGCAACCAACTTTGTAATATTGAGTTTTCCTGGCCAAGATCAGGATTTGTTATTTGTTTGAGTCTTAATGTTTTTAAAAGTAATTTTAAAATTTAAATTATATCCTAACTGTCATGATAATGCTAGTAATGTTATGTCATTAAGAATTATATTTGCTGTTTCTGGTAGATAAATATTTTTAATTAAGGAAGCTTTCTATTTTTTTTTTTACTTACTGTTTAGTGACTTATATTAATAGACAGACTCTCTTAAAAATATACCTGTACAACGACGTAATCTTCAATATACTCTGGCTATTCAGTTTGTTAATATTTTATTTAGGATTTTTGCATCTTTGTTCATAAGTGAGATTGACCTGTTTTTTTTAAAAATGTGCTTGCTTTGTTTGATTTTGGAATCTAGAATGCATTTTACTTATTGCAGTTGGAGAGTTTTTAATCTTACTCTAAACTTTAGAATAGTCTGTTTAACATAAGAAGCAAGATATTCCCCTTTACCACGTGATGGTCATGCAGGAGGTAGAAGCAGGGGGATCGTGAGTTTGAGGTAAGCCTAGGGTATATAGCAATTTCCAGGCTAGCCTGGGGTACATGTTGAGTGCAAGTGCCTACCTATGCTACCTGTATATAGCCTATGCACATCTTCCTTTAATCATCTCTAGATTAGTTATAATACCTAATAAAATGCTATATAAATAGTTGTTATAGTTTATTATTTAGAGGATAGTGACAAGAAAAAATGTATACATTCAGCATTTTTTTTTTCTTGAATCTTTTTAGTATGTGTTTGGTTGAATTCAAAGATGGAACCCATGGATATGGAGGGCCCACTGACCACAAACTGACTGGTTCACACAACAGAAATTCATTGGCTCAGAGTTCTAGAGGCTGAAAGCCTGAGATCAAGGTGTTGGCAGGGTTGATTCCTTTTGAAGACTTGTTAGAGAACATTTGCTCCCTGTCTTTCCTAGCTCCTACTGGTTGCTTGCAATCTTTGATGTTCTTTGGCTTTTAGACACATTATCCTGATGTTTGCTATCACCTTTACATGACGTTATCTCTGTGAGCAAGTCTATGTTCAAATTTTCCCTTTTTATAAGGACAGTAGTCATATTGGGTAGGCTTGTACTCCAATAAGACTTCACCTTAACTAGTTACATCTGTAACAAGGGCTGGCAGAGTGGCTTAAGTGGTAGAGTGCCTGCCTAGCAACTCTGAGGTGCTGAGTTCAAACCCCATTACTGCCTCTTCCCACCCCCCAACTGTATTTGTAACAGCCTTATTTCCAAATAAGGTCACATTCTGAGATACTTTGGATTTAGGACTTCAATGTATGTTGTAACTGTTTCTATAACAAAGCACATGAAGTGATGAATTTATAAAGAGAAAAGTTTATTTTGGCTTTCAGTTTTGAAGATTCTAGTTCCTGATCAATTGGCCCTGTTTTTGGCCCTGTGGTGAGGCAGACATCATGGTGAGTGCATGTAGAACAAAATTGCTCACCTCATGGCCTAGGAGCAAAAGAAAGAAAGAGGAAGGCATCAGGGTTCCATTATTCCCTGCCAGGGCATACTTCCAATGACGTGAAGACCTCCACTATGTGCCATCTGTAAAGATTATGTCACCTTCCAAGAGCACCATCTTGGAGACCAAGCATTTAACACATGGGCCTTTGGGCAGCATTTAAGATCCAAGCCATAGCATTCTCCTTGCTCTTACAATCTATCTGGAGGAAATGGGTTGAGGTGATGAAAAGGGTTTAGAAGTAGCTCTAGTTTGAAACTGGGGCTAATGTTTTGATTAGAAATGGCTAGACTGACTGGGGTTCTGCTCTAGGATGACCTTCATCCACTGAGAACACAGATGAATTCATGGGATTGAGGAGCCTCACAAAGGTAGGTGGTTTGGACGCCTGTGGAAGAACACACATTTAGTGTCTCCCAGAGCTGATTAAAATGACTCTTGCTCCTGGCAAAGATGGAGATTCTGAACTGGAAGAAACTTTAGATCATCATCCCTAACAACCAGTTTAGACTTACTCAAAGTGCACTCAACCCTCCATGTACACAGGTTCTACATCCAAGGATACAACTATCTGCAGATAGAAAATACTAAAAATTTTGTCCGTTCTGAACGTGTGGACTGTATTTCCTATATAATACAGTATAACAGCTGTTTACACAGAATTTACATTGTGTTAGATGTTTTAAGCAATCTAGAGATGATTTGAAGTACACGGATAGATAGGTGTGCATAAGTTATATGAAAATAACATTCTATTTAATATAAGAGATTTGAGCATCTTTGAATTTTGTTATTCACAAGGGGTCCTGGGACCAATCTCCTAAGTAAGATGCCTGTATTTAAGTCTTTGAAGAACTGGAACAAATTTTGAATCTTTCCAGAATCTTTATCTTCTGAAGTAAAGGAAAAACTAGAGGTTGAAAAGTTGAAAGTCAAAGAACAAATATGCTGCTTAATGAGGGAGAACTGGAGAACATGTTGTTTTGGAGACATTTATTACAGGTAGTCATCATACTCAGGAAACTCTTAAAAATAATTAAGAAATTGTACATGACTTGGGGAAAGATTTAAAAAATACAAAATAAAAGTGGAATGAGGTTCTTTATTATTGAAAATGTTCTAATTGATTACTACTGAATGATTACTACAAAGTTTTCTAGTTGATTACTAAAGTTCCATCACAAAGATTCCTAGTGGGATCTAATAAAAAAAATTTACTTTCTATATATTGTATTTGGACACTATTGAACTTATATTCTAATATTTTTTATGATGATCGTATTAGATTTTGTAGGTAGACAGTGATTCTGTTTGTAATTGATCATTTTGTCCCTTTTCTAACATTAGTATTACTTTTTAAATATAGCAGTGGCTAGCTTCTTTGGAATAATGTTGAGTAACAAATACAATAGCTAGCAGCCTTTTCTTATTCTTTAGTAGGAATGCCTGTAGTGCTTTATCATTGCTTATAGGTTATTTTCTGTTGCTATTTTTAAAGTATTTATTTATTTATTTATTTATGGTACTGGGGCTTCAATTCAGGGCCTCATGCTTGCTAGGCAGGTGCTGTACCCACTTGAGCCATTCTACCAGCCTAAATTTTTTTCCTTTTAAACTTTATATTTAAATTCAACTTTTATTTCAGCATACTTGTAGAATCATATACAGTTGTAAAAAAAATGCAGAGAGCCCATGTACTCTTCACCCAGTTTTCTCTTGCATTCTCTTGCATTTATCACAGGTGGGAAATTGCACCTCCTGTCTTCATATTTTAGCGCATTTGGTTGGACTCTATATTCAGATTTTAGTAGTACTCACTTGTGTGAGTGTGCGTGGTCTTATCATATCTGTAGTCCTGTGTGACCACCACCTCAGTTGACATGTTCCATCACAAAAATGAGTTCTATTGCATAAGATTCCTTGGGCTACCTTTTTGTAGCCACAGCCATGTCCTTTCTTCTTGGCCTTTCTAGCCCAGGCAACCATTAAACAAGTGGAGTCATTTAGTACATAGCTTTTGAGATTGGCTTTTTTCATTGGCATATTCCTGTGAGATTCACTCAGGTTGTTGCATATCAGGAGTTTGTTCTTTTTTTATTACCGAGTAGTAGTTTGTGGCGTGGATGACTATCTCTTGAAGAACAGATGGATTATTTATTTATTTATTTATTCATTACTCATATGTGCATACAATGCTTGGTTCATTTCTCCCCCCTGCCCCCACCCCCTTCCTTACCACCCACTCTGCCCCCTCTCTCTCCCTCCCACCCCTTCGATATCCTGCAGAAACTGTTTTGCCCTTATCTCTAATTTTGTTGAAGAGAGAGTATAAGCCATAATAGGAAGGAACAAGGGGTTTTGCTGGTTGAGATAAGGATAGCTATACAGGGAGTTGACTCACATTAATTTCCTGTGCGTGTGTGTTACCTTCTAGGTTAATTCTTTTTGATCTCACCTTTTCTCTATACCTGTTCCCCTTTTCCTATTGGCCTCAGTTGCTTTTAAGGTATCTGCTTTAGTTTCTCTGCGTTAAGGGCAACAAATGCTAGCTAGTTTTTTAGGTGTCTTACCTATCTCATATCACCCTTGTATACTCTCATTTTTATTATGTGTATCGTTTTATCATTTTATCCCCTTGTTGTGTTTGCCCTTGATCTAATGTCCGCATATGAAGGAGAACATACAATTTTTGGTCTTTTGGGCCAGGCTAACCTCACTCAGAATGATGTTCTCCAATTCCATCCATTTACCAGCGAATGATAACATTTCATTCTTCTTCATGGCTGCATAAAATTCCATTGTGTATAGATACCACATTTTCTTGATCCATTCGTCAGTAGTGGGGCATCTTGGCTGTTTCCATAACTTGGCTATTGTGAATAGTGCCGCAATAAACATGGGTGTGCAGGTGCCTCTGGAGTAACCTGTGTCGCAGTCTTTTGGGTATATCCCCAAGAGTGGTATTGCTGCATTAAATAGTAGATCAATGTTTAGCTTTTTAAGTAGCCTCCAAATTTTTTTCCAGAGTGGTTGTACTAGTTTGCATTCCCACCAGCAGTGTAAGAGGGTTCCTTTTTCCCCGCATCCTCGCAAACACCTGAAACAGATGGATTGTTCTCAGTTTTTGGCTATTTTCGGTTAAGCTGCTATGAACATTCATGTGCAAATGCAAGTTTTCATTTCTCTGAAATAAATGCTCCAGAGGGCCTATGAACTTAGATTCTTCTGGTTGTCACATTTTGTCTAGTTTACTTTATTTATTTTCTCTGTCTTTGTTTTTCCATAGACACACACACACAAATACAAAATCAAAAATTTTCTTGAACATTTGAGAGTAATTGCAATGCATCATTACCTCCAAGTACTTCAATGGGTATTTCCAATTGTAAGGACATTATCTTACATCCCCACAGAATAGATAACAACTTGGTTAAACACTTTTTATCATATCTACTGTCTATTACAATTTTGTCAGTTGGTAGTAATGTCCCTTAGACATCTTTTTCCTCCTAGTATATTTTCCCTCCTAGTATACAGGGTATTACCTTATTTAGTAGTCAGGACAGCTGTATGAGGTACATATTATTATTACTGGCTCTTTGAGGTGATGAAACTGAGGCATAGATATCTTGTTCAAGTCATAGCTATTAAATAATGGAGACTGGCTTCAACTCTGGTGTTTTGACTAGAGAAGCCTTCTAACCACTGAACTCTGCTGTCTTCCATTATCTTTTAGCTGTGTCTAGTCTTGGACTTCCAGAAATTGGTGTTTTAACTTTGAACTAAGAATTAGAAAAATATTTTCTGTATTAACTGACATAAACAATTGTTATTTGATTTATTTCATAGTATTTCATCCATTCTGTAATGACTTTAGATATTTCATTTGCTGCTTCAAATTGGAGCTAAAATTGAGCCTATTCTGCATCTGGTTAGCATTTGTGGTACTTTGGGAAGTATTAAGTTTGTTTTTTGGTGGTACTGGGGTTTAGACTCAGGGCCTTGTGCACTTGCTAGGTGAGCACTTTTATCACTTGAACCATACTTCCAGCCCTTTTTGCTTTAGTATATTTTCCACATAGGGTCCCGCTTCTTGCCAGGGCTGGTTTGGGACCACAGTCTTCTTCCCTGTGCCTCTTCTGTAGGTGGGATCATGAACATGTGTCATCACACCTAGCTTATTGGCTGAAATGGGGTCTTGTTAACTTTTGCCCTGTTTGGCCTCAAACAGGCCACCCCTTCTCATCTGTCCTTCCTGACTGGCCAGGATTATAGGTTTAAACCACAATGCCTGGCCATATTAAGTATTTGAGATGAAGTTTTAAGCATCAAGCAGATTATTGTCTTGTGCATTAGAAGTGAGAGTTTAGAGGAAGCCCTGTTACATGTATGGCTTTTGTCCTTTGGACCAGATAAGGACTGTTTCTTCTAGGGCATTCATTGTTCAGGCCTTTGTTCAGTCTTTGTTAATTTCTCAAGGAAAGAACTCCACTATCCCTGGAGGCAGTTTTCTAATCTTACATGGCTGGGAGTTTCCCAAGTATAAGTAGTTGTGGAGATTACAATGTGCTTTATTCTTTGTAAGCTTCTTTTAAGGTCACTACCATGTGAAATAGTACAAAATACATGTTTGCTGAGATTAAAGTTATTGTGGGGTTTGTAATTTTTGGATTTCCTTACATCCGCATTAGTGAACTGTGCACAAAGAACCTCTGTAAATACAGGTTTTACACTTAACATGCATCTAGAGGTAGCAAGTTCTTGATGATGTAATTTCTCTATTAGTGACAAGATGAACACTTGCAACCTGAAGATTGAAAATAATCCTGAGTTTCTGAGCTTTGCCATGGAATTGAGGGCCTGTATTCTGACCCTGTTCTTAGAAGGCTTGTGTAAGCACTGACAAACTAGAGTTCTTAATGGAAGTGGAGGCCTGGCTTTTTCCTCTGGAGTGCATGTACTTGGTTTGTCCAGTTTCTCTACCATCTATTAAACTCATGCTTATGGATCTTGCGAGTGGTAATGTTGCCAATGAGCTGGCTGGGCATCTTTTGCTCTGTCTGGACAGAAATTGCCTCCTTACGGTGCTGGGTGTTACAACTCTTGGGCCTTGGGTACTGAGACCCTCAACCTTAAGGCCTGGCAGCTCTCAGAATTCTTCCAGCTACTGGGGCCTGCAGTCTCTTGTCTTCAACTCTTTCTACCCTTCCACTTTCCATACCTTTGGCTTTCTGCCTACACTTCCCTTCTTTCATAGTCTTTTGCCATCTCAGCTGCCTCTACTCCCTGCAGTTTCTGCCCCAGTCACTTTCTGAATATCTTCAGCTGCCTTCTGGCCTATCTTGTTTCCTCCTTCTCTACCCATGATGAA